AGCAAACAGAATGGATGTGGGCGAAACCCATTAAGCTTGGGATCGTTCATACCTCTGTCTCATGTAACTGCTGTGGCTCTGAGAGTGGACTCTAGCCATTCGCAGCCACTTTATCCAGTGGTGATTGAGGCCATAGGTGCAGTGGTGCTGTGTGCCCTCTTCCTGAGCAGCCTTTACCCTCGTTCCTGTAGAGTTTTCCTGCTGACCTTCAAGTTGCCACCAAGGCTTCGTCTTGGGTGTCCCTTCCTTTGGGGACTTCCGCCCTCCAGGACCCGTTGTGTGGCACACTCAGTTGTAGCCGTGGCACGGCCGTCTGTCCCTGTCTGTCACTCGGTCACTGAACGCTTATCTACGCTGTGGTCTCCTCTCTCCGTACAGGGTTAAATCCTCTGAGCCGTGAAAACAGACTTCATTTCTGGTTGACTTTTGATTCTCATGGCAGGGTTCTCAGCTTACTCAAATGTGATTACAGCAGACGCAAAATGTGTCTGAACATGCAGCTTTTCTTGCATTATTTTGACAGCACCATCCCCAAAGGAGGGGTGACATTTAGAAACACTTAACTACACACTTGCAGAAAATTTTAAAAAGCGCTGGGTTTGAAATGGAATCAGCACATCCCGAGTCTACAGTAGATAGCAGGGACCTGTGGCAAAGCCGGGAGGCGCTGTCCCGGGAAATGTGGGGACGTCACACTCGTCCCGCACCTTGAAGGCAGAGGCTGGGATCTGCCTCTCCTGTACTGCGCTGGGCTGGCCAGTGCTTTTGATTACAGAATGTCAAGTTTAGTGCTGTCGGGATGCTTGGGAAAGATCTGGACGTCTCTAGCTAAACTCCGGGACTGTGCAAACTGTCGGCCTTGTGTTCAGTCTGATGTACTACATGCACACCTGGTCCTGGCTTCTTCACCGCAGTTTCCCGGCTGCCCTGCTTTGAACATGGGGGCACAGCCTGCACTGTGCTGACCGTCTTCGGGGGTAATGATTAATCTGCTTCCAAGAACCTTGGTACCAGGTGAAGGTACAGAGAACGTCGTAGCTTTTGTTGTTTGTTTACTCTGAAATGTCAGATCCTAGTGAGGCAAAGACTTCTAAGTATTAAATCTAATATCCACAAAGCTCGACAGAGTCAGATGAGGGAGTGAATCAGAGCTCGGGGGGAAAGAGGAAGACCCAGCCGCTGGTCGCTGTCTTGCTCCCTTGGGAAGCCCTGTCTTTTGTGGTTAAGCCCCTCCCTGCCTGAAGGGTCCTGCTGTGTTGTATGTCATTCCAGAAAACACTTAGCAAGTGCCTTGTAGGTCCAGGAAACTCGACAATAACTCAGGGATGTGAGGGTGCGTTAGATGCAGCAGGTACCTTCGCCTCCCCTTGGCCTTCTTTTATCCCATCCAAATGACAAAACTTCTTGTTTTTGGTTTTTGTTTCACACTGGGGTCTTGCCGGGGTCTTGCCGTGTTGGCCAGGCCATCTTCCCAGTAATGATTCTCCCGCCTCAGCCTCCTGGGTAGCCAGGACTACAACGCATGCTGGTGCACCCAGTCTTAATGAAGCGTCTTGTTCTATGCAGCACCTTATCGGGGAGCTTCTCACGTTCTCCATCTGTTGCTGCTAGGGTAGAATCAGACATAATCCGTGTACCTCTTTACCACCCGTCTCTGTCTTTAATGAGTAGCTACTATGTGCCAGGCCCCATGGCCAGGCTGGTGGCATGCAGTGCCCTCGCCCCACAGAGGCGACTGCTTAGGACGGGGGTGGCACACAGTGGCCCCACAGTGCTCTCTGCCCTGTTGTGGCATTGCTGCCTGCCCCTGGCTGTTGTGTAGTGCTTCAGTTTTTTTGTACTGTGCTTTAATTTTTGTTTCCTTTCGTGCTTTTTTAGTCCCTGCGATGATTTTATTTCTCTCTGCAAACTTCTGGTGGTTCTCCCTTGCAGAACCCCTGACTTCTGTTCCAGATGTTCATTCCATCTTCGTTGTCTTTGGACACGCCGCGTGGCTGTTTTGCCACTTGGGTGACGCAGGCTGCAGCTGCTCTCGCAGATGGTCGCCCGGTTACTCGGGTGCGGGTGGCTCGCCAGTGCCTGTGCTGTGCTGAGCCCCACGGGTGGCTCCTGACCCCCCCCACCACTGCAGGGGCTGTCCCGGAAGTATGTGCGGGGACCGGGCAAACACAGTCTTCGTGAGCTCGCAGCCTCTGGGTGCCAGGCAGGGCCCTTCTCGGCCTCCAGGGTTAGGCACTCACTTTGCCTCCTTTGCCAGTCTCACATCTAAGCGCTGCAGGCAGGGACGGTGCCCGGCCCTGGGCAGGCTTCGTGAGTGTGTGTGTTTCTTTTTAAATTACTGTTCAAAGCTTTTGAACTCCCCTGCTTTGTAGTTCCCACAGGGATGTTTTCATTGATCAGTGTTCTAAGACCTAAAGACCAAGTCCCGAGCCAGATGGGAGGGAGCCGCAGCCAGGGGGAGCCTGTGTTTTCCTCCTCATCCCTCCGGGCATGTGAGGCACAGGGCACCGGAACCGCCCGGCCGGGTTGTGCTCTCCAGGAAGCAGGCAGCGGCGGCCCCGCGGCACTACCCGAGGTGGTAGGGACTGCGTGTGGCATTTCTTCTCCTGACCGAAGGCTGCAGCGGTGGGGGAGCCCCATGCCAGCTCATGCTGGGAACCTCGGGTGTCCTATTGGGGGTGGGCCCTGTGACCCCGCTGTCTCTCTGGGGGACGGTTCAAAGGGGGAAGCGCTTGTCTGCTGCGGTGGATGCAGAAGGGCTTGATCCCACGATCTCTGTGGGAACCGGCCAGAGTTCAAGCTGCGATTGCCTCACTCTGTGTGCGGATTTTATCTCGTTCAGCTTTAACGGCAAGGCCCGTGTTTCTCAAAGTAAATCTCAGTTATTCTTTAAAAGGAGACGGAAGGCTGAAAATCAAACGCTAAGATTTCAAAACTTTCCAACCCCCTGGAGGTACCATCCAGGAGACCAGCATCGCCCCATGAGGTGCTCCAGCTGGGGGGAGAACACTGGTGGGTGTGGGAGGCTGCTGTGGCAACAAGGACACTGCAGGAATAACAGGAGGTGGCCACAGCCCGGGCCGTTCAGGGATGAACTTTATGGCCAATATTGTGAGTTAATGACTGTGGCTTTGAACTTTTTGTACTTAAATAGCTTAAGGAATGTTTATTGCCGCATGCTCTTGTTTACCCTTCGCGGTCTTCCTTGGACATAATGCAGCAGGGCTGGGGTGGCATGGCAGAGGCGTGTTTAGCCTGCTCCGGGCCTGGGTCCCAGCCCCAGCAACTCCCTGTACCCCCGGGAGACAAGAACACATGGATCTGCAGCTCGATCGTGCGCATAGATGATAGAGAAAGCCTTCTGGAGCCTACAATAGGTTCACGATTCTCCATCGTTTTTGCCTGTGTGTTATTGGTGCGTATGGGAATTTGCCAGAATTCCAAGCAGGAGATGTGAATTTCACGGAAGTGTGTGAATCTGTCCCATTTTCCACTGCTTGGGGAAGCGGGCACACCCCTTCGTCCGCAGTCAGAGCTGTGGTTTACAGTAAGCAAACCTGGGGTGTAACTGTCCCGCACAGGTGTGTTCCGCAGGGGAATGTTTGCTGCGGAAAGTGTCCTTCACCCCGCCAGACTTACCGGCACACTGTGGTCATGACAGGCCCAGAGCTGCCTCTCACTGAGCCCAAACCCAGGCCACACGTGCCTCCTCTGACCCCCTCTGAGGACAGCGGCAGGTTTGACCAGGGCCAGATGGGAAAACAGTGCAAAAGCTTAACATTGGACTGGTCTCCCTCCCTGGAGTACTGATGAGCCAGGGCTTAGGGAGGTGACAGGAAGCAGGACTGCAGAAAGGTAGCAATGGGAAGGGAAGTCCCTGCAGGGCACCTGGCAGAGATGCCTAGGGGAAACTGTGACATGGTGGTACTGGGTGGGACTAGCTCCCCATGGGGCAGGACAGTGCCAGCCACAATCAATTGAGGATGAGTTCCGAAAGTCTGGAGCCGTGCTGAGGAGACTGGGCCTTGTCTGGTGTTCACAGGAAGTGGTTTGCGATGGTCGCGCAGGAGTGTAGTGTAGGCCAACGCGGGAAGTTCCGCCATTTTGTCCTTATATCCATGTGGGAGAGGTTCTCTCATTCGCTAGTTGTCTTATTTCAGACTACCCACGGGAGTGACCTTCATGGGCACAAGTGGGCTTTCAGGGTGAATGGTATGCACCATGCTGGCCAACAACTTGGGCCTCCTCTCTCTGGTCCCCAGCCTGAAGCTACCAGCCTCCCTGCTGTCACTAGGATGTTCCAGTATCCCTAGTGCTTGGTGTTCTTTTCTCTAGAACATTCGGGCACAGGACTCCTACAGCTCGCTGAGGCCTCATCCCGGGAGCCTCTTCTGGTCCCCAGTCAGCAGGACCTCTGTATAAAACACCTACTACTCATCGTTCCTGCCTGTGTCGTGTCGTCCCCACCGGAGAGCCCGTCTTATATTGCCTTCTTTGTTCTCCGTTTGTGCCCCCACTAGAAGTGGTGCTCTGTGACCTCAAGGCCTCTGCTTTTGTGCGTGACTGTGGCTCAGCACCTCGCGTGCTGTGGTGGGGTGAGGCCTCAGTCAGGAGAATGCATCGTTTCAGGTGCATAAGGTTTGGCCCCTTACATTTTTTTGTTGCTTAAAGATTCTTTATTTTCTGCCAGGCATGATGGCGCACACCTGTAATCACAGCACTCTGGGAGGCTGAGGCAGAACGCTTCCAAGCTTGAACCCAGCTTGGGCAACTCAGTGAGACCCAGAAGCCCTGGGTTCAATCCCTTGTGCTGAAAAAAAATAATCATTTTCCTAGTGTACGTCCAAGAGTCATTGTTTAGAAAAGGTGGTCAGCAATATTACTGTTCCTCCTCGGGATTCAGGCGTGTCTTCCACGATACATGATGTTGCCCATTAAGAACAGAGACGTGTGCCATTACTTAGCTGCCGGTTTCACCCCTGGCTTCTTTCCTCCCGCAGGTTGGAGCTCAGTGGTTGGACTGGCTCCACCACGCCAACATGGTGGACATGGAAAGCCCCCTGTGTCCCCTGTCCCCCTTGGAGGCTGAAGACCTGGAGAGCCCACTGTCCGAGTACTTCCTCCAAGAAATGGGAGCCATCCAGGACATTCCGCAGTCCCTCAGCGAGGACAGCTCCGGGAGCTTCGGTTTCGCGGAATACCAGTATTTAGGAAGCGGGCCCGGCTCCGATGGATCGGTCATCACGGGTGAGTGTGCCACGTCCCGGAAAGGTCATCTCGAAGCGATTTCCTCAGGGGAAATATGAAGCCACACAGTTCTGCAAAGAAATCTCGACGTGAAAGTGTCGAGGGTGCTGCATGGGACCCTGAGGCTCGTATCTGTTGGGGTCCCTTCCCGTAACGTCATGTACGGGGCAGATGACACCTGACGCTCAACCGAGGAAGGCGGCTGTGTGCATTTCGTTAATGCGGAGACTCCTACTGTCACAAAAAGAACTCCTTTTTGATCCAGAAATTCATATTAACCATCTCCCTACTTCTGACGTCACATGAAAACCCGTAACCTCGAGCCAGGTGTGGCAGCACTCTGGGACGATCACAAGTTCAAACCTAATCTGGGCAACTTACCAAGACCCTGCCTCAACATTCAGAAAACAGTAAAAGGTGGGAGGGGCAGCTGGGCATACAGTTCAGTGCAAAGGCCCCGGGTTCCAGCCCCGGTACCACAAAAGAAAAATAAAAACCACATGGCAGAAGTAAGATGTGGCACCTGCTCAGTTAACCCGCAGGATCGTGGGTGAGATGGTGGCTCCTGTCATCTTTCTAGGCCCCACCGAAGGCAGCCAGGGCCCGGGCATCCCCTGCACCTCCAGGGAAGTGGGCGTTGGGTGGGAGTGGAGGGCTTGGGACCGGCCGGGAGAGCACCCTACAGGTGGCCAACCGGGGTGCCAGGGAAATACGGAGGGAAGGGTCCCCACAACGCCTCTCGCCCTGGCTCTCGGCTCAGAGCGTGTTTCGCCCTCACTGTCTTCTCTCTCTCATCCCCGTTCTCAGACCACTTTAGTGGCCACACATACACGTGCTGAGGGTGGAATCGTCTCACAAGTGTTCAGCTCTTGCTTTGTGTCGCTGTGGCTGGCTAATTTAAGAGATGAGATTAAGACGACCTCCCGGGTGTAAGTTAGACCTTCCATCGAAGTTGTGCCAAAGGCTTGTGTGGAGGGGCTGTGTGAACTGTCCTGAGTCACTGTGGCTTTTTCCTCCTACTTTCTCTTCTCTTCAAGTATGACATCTACTTGACATACGGTAAACTGCATGCATTTAAAGTATACGAGCTGATGTAAACACACACACACTCGCACACACACACACAGACATACACACGCCTGTAAAACCTTTGTCGCAATCAAGGCGGTGACCCTATCCATCACCCACAGGTTTCCTGGGCTCCTTTGCAGTTCCTCTTCCTCCACCCGCTTCTATCTGCAGCCAGTGTGAGGAGTGACATCTTCCCAGCGTCATCTTCTGATCCATGAGCACAGCAGTCTCCCCCCTGAGTGAGGTCTGTGCCATTTCTCTCCACACTTTATAGTTTCTAGCGTACAAGGGTTTCACACAAGGCCTCTGGCAGTCCTCCCGTACTTCACAAGTGCCGAGTTCCTCTTTTTTCCTCCCTCTCCTCGTTCTCCTCTTCCTGTTCTTCTTCCTCCGTCTTGTTTCCCTCCACCTTCATGTCAGAGAGTTTGTATTGCCAGTTCTTCAAGTGTGCTGATGTTTCCTTCTGCAGAGTCATCCATCTGGAGCATTTTCCACATCAGGCACTGTAGTTTCTACCAGTAGAATTATGACTCAATTCTTTTTTTTACCGTCATCTCTACCTAACACGTCCAGTCTTTCCTGTAGCATTTGAACGTCTGGAACATGATCAGAGTAACTCCTTTTACTGGCTTGGCTCAGATTATGTCATTTCTGTCATTTCTGGGTCCCTTTTAGCTCACTGATTCTTTTTCTCATCATGGGCCATATTTTTCTGACTCTTTTGATGTCTTGTAATTTTTTATTGGACGCCACAGACTGTGAAGTTTGTTGGATGCTGGAAGTTCTGTGTCCCTATAACCATCCCTGAGCCTTGTTCTGGGGTGCAGTTCTGTTCCTTGGGAAATGTTTGATCCTCTTAGGGTTCATTTTGAAGCCCTGCTAGATGGGCCCAAAGCAGCCTTTGTTTCCGAGGTAATTTTGCCTGCTGCTGAGTGCTGGCCTGAGGCCGCCTAGGTTCTGGGTGTCCCCGGGAGGAGGTCCCACAGGATCACGTGAGCCCCATGAGGGCTGATGTTTTTCTTTCAGGTTGCTGTGGAGGGTCACGTCCTCTCAGCTCTCAGCCGGGAGGCAGAGGCATGCATGTGTGTATACTAACACGCAGGCGTGTGCACACACACCTGCGGATCTCTCACGTGCAGCCATCTGCCGTGTTAAGCTAAGCATAAGTTCACACCCCTCCTTGTCCTGTCTGTGACCTTGACTCCAGCAGTGAGGAGCCCCCTCCCCCGTCACCTGCACGGCAGCAAAAGTTACTCACTGGGACTCGGGTGGGAAGAGTTTTATCCTCCCGGCTCCCTCTGCCTGGCAGACCTCGCAGACCGGCCTTGCCAAGCTTGCTGGCAGTGCCTCCCCGCGGGGTGCTTCCTTGTAGTTGTACCACAGTTAGACGGTTTTGTCACCTGCCCTCAATCCTGGGGTCCTCCAACCTGTTTTTGTTTTATTTGCACCCACTCAGGGTCACTCTAGCTGTCACATTCCTCACGGTTTGACACCCATGGCACCACAAGTCCACAGTTAGGTTTTCATAGGAAGAGCAGCTCAGAAGCCCTGCGCCTCCCAGTACAACCCCATCCGCAGCTCTACCCCAGCAACCACCCCCCTGCCGTCGACCCCCCACCCCCGTCTTCCTGCCATAGCTGTGGTGTTGCCTCGTCCAGAATGCCACGTGTTAGGGTGAGATGGAAAAGGTGCCCCCGGAATTCTCATGTGCCTGGAAGGTGACCAGAGCGCGGGCGCTGTACGCATCAGAGGGTTGATCTGCTGTGAGGTCCTGGCTCACCGTGCAGCTGGGAGCGGGACCCTGGTCAGAACAGGCAGGACTCGCGGGCCTGTGGCCTGGACGGGCGTGTCCCCTCCCTGGCTGCTCTCTTTGCTAGCTGCTTGCTGGCCGCCGTGATTGGGCACTGTTTCCAGGCCAGGCCCCCCGCCCCCCGCACCATTTCACCGTGGAGCCGCCGACCATGGACTGAAGCATGAGCCAAAGTAAGCCCGTGCTCCTTTAACTTGTGGGTGTTGGGTGCTGTGTCTGGCAATGGGACGGTGACGAAGGCGCCTCACATCTGGTTCACGGGGTGTGGATCCTTTCGGTCTGGCTTTCGCACATGACAGACCGTATGCACTTAGGGTGAATCCGTCTTTCCAAAGCTTGATGCCTCACTGCTTTTTACAGTGAATGATGTTCTGGGAAGTGGCTGCACCACAGTGTGTTACCCGATTAAGAATAAAACTGCAACACGTGCATCCGTGGGGTTTCTATGGACATCACTCTCCAGATCGGTTGCCCTAAGTGCTGTGCCTATCGCTTTGTGAGAAACTGCCAAGCGGACTGGGGATATAGCTCAGTGGTACAGCACCTTCCTGGCAAGTGCAAGGTCCTGAGTTCAATTCCCAGTACCCTCCCCGCCAAAAAAGAGAGAAAAAAAGAAACGGCCAAGCTGTCCCAGAAGTGGCTGTCACGCTCTGTGTTCCCATGGTGGTTGGGCATCCTCTAGCTCTGTGTCCTCACTAGCATTCTCGGCTGTCAGATTTCTTTAAAAACATGAATAGGTGTGTCATGGCGCACCATCAGCTTTAATTCACAAGTTCCCAAGGGAAGAGACATCAGGCGTTGCTCCACGCACTCTTCACCCGCAGTCCATCTTCATCGAGGAAGGGTCTGCTCAGATCTTCTGCCCATTTTTAATTGTGCTGTTTGTTTCCTGTTTTAAGGCTCCTTTGTGTAGATTGGATATAAGTCTTATCACCTGGATTTTGTGAAATATTTTCTCCCAGTCTCTGGTTTGTCTTTTCATTTTCTTAACAGAAGTTTAGGACACTCATAAATTCCAACATATTCCACCACCACCGCCCCACCGTGGAAGGCGCTGCAGGTGTTGCCTGCATGAATTTCTCACTGTGTTTTGGTGCTGTTTACTGGGTGAGCAGCTGCAGATCAGGAAGGAAGGAAGGGAGGGACCTAGCACATTCTGTGTGGGGCGTGGGGAACAGAACATGGGGCGGGGGACCAGGTAGGGGTCCCCTGATTCACTGCTCTGCTGAGATGGGTGCGGCTCGGCCGGCAAGGACAAAAGCAGATGTGCTTGAGGGGGCTGGCACCGTGGCCGCCATGGGGGACAGGAGGTCATGGCCTGGCATAGGGACAGCAGCTGGCTCAGGACCGGACCCGTCCCCTGGCTTAGGCTGCGTCTGAGCACCTCCCGTGCCAACTCAGTCCCCAAAGACCTGGTAAGTCACGGGCTCGTGATGCCCCAGATCTCCATGGAGATGTCCTCTCTCCCACAGACACCCTGTCACCGGCTTCCAGTCCCTGCTCTATCAGTTACCCCGTGGTCCCGGGCGGTGTGGACGAGCCTCCCAGTGGCGCCCTGAACATTGAGTGCAGGATCTGTGGGGACAAGGCCTCGGGCTACCACTACGGGGTCCACGCGTGTGAAGGCTGCAAGGTACTGGCCCCGGTGGTGGGGGTGAGGTCAGCACCGCGGCTTCTGTCTACATAAAGGTGTGAATGGGCGCTGACCCGGGCAGGCTCTCTTCAGGGATCCTAGAGCAGTTGCGCTCTGCTTTGTGAATAGCTGAGCAGTATCCAGAATCGAAGCGGCCCCAGTGAGAGTGTCCGCCTTCACTCATACAAGGTAGAGTTCTGACCCACGCACCACTCACTGACTTGGCAGGACCCTGACCCTGTGTGCCAGGGATGAGCTGGTGCCAGAGAGGTCAGCATCTTACTTAGGGTCACAGAGTGCCTAGTCTACACCCAGCTGCTGCCTGTGGCCCCAGCCGTCCCTCCCTGCACGCCACCCCCCAGCTACAGCCCCCTGCACCCGCATGTACAGCCAGCCCTGGACAGGGATGAGCAGGGCCAGGAGGAGGTGGTGGAGACCCCGGGGTCTAGTAGCTGCCTGGATCCATGGCCCTTGCAAGAGGACCTGGTCCTGCCACCCCCTGAAGATCTCCTGCAGTCACGTGACAGCCTCATGTGTGTCACTGAGACACACAGCATGGGAGCTCTAGAAGTCCAACTCCATTTGGTCAGAGGTCCCTTCCTGTGCACACTGGAGCGTTCACTGACCTGGAAACGCTGCAGCCTTACGCCTGTGTTCTCAGAATGTGGGTGCGCTGCCCCTGCCAGGCCTGGCCTCAGAGGCGGGTCCCCGAGATGGGGACGGAGGCCTCCCCTTCCATCCCCAAGAAATAGCTGAGCCATCCCCACGAGACTTGCCGCATTGGACAGGCACAGACGTGACTTCACACGTGTGTGACGGGACCCACATCCGTGTCTCTGCTGCCGAGCAGCCCCGACTTAAATTCGTCATCCTGCTGGCTTGAACCACCGGCGGCACCTCTGATAAAGCAGGCAGCACTTTGGCTGCATTAAAGCCACACATTCTCATGTTTTGTGCCCGGTCAGCCACCTTGATGTATAAAATGTTTTTAAAAAATTCACGAAGATGAATTTCTTTTAGTTTGATGGAATAAATGTGTTGATTACTGTGATAATTTTAATTGGTCTGAATAGTATTAATATTTATATTTGGGCAGTAATTACTCAAGTAACTAAATAGACTCCATCTATTGATAGACTTTTTATTAATTTTATTATAAAAAGGTAGATAAAAGTGATTAGCTCCGTTTGTACCAGCAGTGGTTCAAGCGCCTTATGGGAACTACCGTGTACCGCTTGCTGGTGGGTCAAGCCGGTAGGAATGCGTTCAAAGCAAAAACAAGAAAAGGACCCAAAGCCAAAATAAACTCCTTTCCAACTGTCCCAACCACCGACCTCAGAGCAGCTGCTTGTAATGCGGCCTTTCCTCTCGGGCGTGATTCGGTCCTTGCTCTGACTTTTTATGGGCTTCGGGGAGAGCTGTTTCTCCCAGGTACTGTACACAAAGCAAGAAAATTACAAGTATTTGGTTTCCTTCTTTTTTGTTTGTTTGTTTTGTTTTTTGTTTTTGTTTTTGTTTTTTTGTCTTTTTGAGACAGGGTCTCCCTATGCAGTTCAGGCTGGCCTTGAGCTCACTTTGTAACCCAGGCTGGTCTTGAACTCACAACGATCCTCCTGCTTCAGCCTCCCGAGTGCTGGGATTACAGGCATGTGCCATCACGCCCGATTATCATTTTTTTTTTCCTTTTAGAAAGTTAATATTCTCTTAGAAAAATTCCTACAAAGGTGTGAGTCTGACACATGGCTCTATCACCCAAGAGGGGCGGGACAGTGACATTGGGGTCCACCGGGCAGAGCTGAGTGACCTTGAAGTCTCCCACTATGGTCTCCCCAGTCAGACAGGGATGTTTGGAAATCACTTTGAATTCTGTCTTTGCGCATTGGTTTTTAATGTGTATATGTTACATACATATAATGTGAATATATGTTAT